AGCTCAGGGTCTAGTTGTTGTCTCTGAGCCTCTTTGTGTCCAAGGCTAGCACTCTACCAATTGAGCCACAGCACCACTTGTGATTTTTGAGTGGTTAATTGGAGATAAGAGTCTCATGGGGGCAAAGGACATAACTAGCAAGATCAATAGAAAGCCCACAGATTGGGAGAAGATCTTCACTAGCCATACAACAGACAAGGGTCTCATATCTAAAATATAACTGGAACTCAAAAAATTAAATCCCCCTACAACAAATCTTCAAAGAAACAACTGCCCAATAAATAAGTGGGCTAAAGACTTAAAGAGAAACTTCTCTGAAGAGGAAAGAAGGATGGCCAAATGCTCAACCTCTCTAGCCATAAAAGAAATGCAAATCAAAACAACATTGAGATACCACCTCACCCCAGTTAGAATGGCTATAATCAAGAACTCTAATAACAACAGATGCTGGAGGGGATGTGGACAGAAGGGAACCTTACTGCATTGTTGGTGGGAGTGTAAACTTGTTCAACCACTTTGGAAAGTAGTATGGAGGTTCCTCAAACGACTCCACATAGAGCTCCCCTATGACTCAGCAATCCCACTTTTGGGCATTTACCCAAATGTTTACAAACAAGACCATACTAAAGCTACCAGCACGACTATGTTTATTGCAGCCTTATTTACCATAGCTAAGATATGGAACCATCCCAGATGCCCCTCAGTAGAGGAATGGATCAAGAAAATGTGGTATATATACACAATGTAATTCTATGCCTCCATCAGAAAGAATGACATTGCCCCATTTGTTAGGAAATGGAAAGACTTGGAAAACATTATATTAAGTAAAATAAGCCAGGCCCAAAGAAACACAGGTCCCATGGTTTCCCTTATTTGCAATAACTAGTATATGTCTGAGTCAAGCAGAAAAGGTCAGTTAAGTTGATGTTAGGGAAATGAACCCTAAGATATGCATTAAATGTTTTTTTCTTTCATGCAATTGTTTCTAACACATTTATAAGATGATTTCTTTGTTGCTTTGTATGTCCCTCCCCCACGGTATAACCCCTGCTTTCACTGTATTTGATATTGTTATAATTTGTGGAGGGGAAGGGAAAAAACAAATCGTTTAAATAGGGTTACAGGTGGACCCACTGCAACAATGAGATGTACAAGTCGTTATGTCGGAAACGAACTTTACAACTTTGGTGGCGGGGGGAGAAGGCTGGGTGAGGGGGTGGGGGGAGGATGGGATGGGAAGGGGAAATAAAGGAGGAGGCTACAATGCTTGATAAGAAATTTACTCGTTATCTTGCCCATGTAATTGTAACTCCTCTGTACAGTATTTTCATACACAGAAAAAGAAATGTACTCATTATCTTACCCATGTAATTGTAACTCCTCTGTACAGTATTTTCACAATAAAAAATGTAAAAAGAAAGAGTCTCATGGGGACTTTTCTGCCTGTGCTGGCCTTGAACCAGGATCCTTGGATCACACCCTCCTAAGTAGCTAGGATTATAGGCATGTGCCACGGCACCCAGCCCCAAGAGATTCTTACCTCTGTTTAACAAAAAAAATTCCAGAAGTAAGCCAGACACTCGGCTCAAGCCTGTAAGCCTAGCTACTTTGAAGGCTGAGATCTGAGGACAGCGGTTCAAAGCCAGCCCAGGAAGTTAAATCCGTGAGACTCTTTTCTCCAATTAACCATGAGAAAACTAGAAGTGGCGCTGTGGCTCAAATGATACAGCACTTGCCTTGAGCTGAAGAGCTGAGGGAAGCACCCAGGCCCAGAGTTCAAGACCAATGACTGAAAAAATAAAAAAATTCCAGAAGTGGAAGTATAGCTCAAGTAACCAAGGACCAACCTTTAGTGAAAAAGCCAACTGAAGCTTAAGACTCTAAATTGAAGCCCCAGTAGAGGGGGGAAAAAAATGACATGTTCAAGAATGTCCAAGCCAGGTACCAATGACTCATGTCTGTAATCCTGGCTACTCCGGAGGCTGAGATCTGAGGATCACAGTTCAAAGCCAGCCCAGGGAAGAAAGTCCATGAGACTCTTATCTACAATAAACCACAGAAAACCAGACATGGCACTGTAGCTCAAGTGGTAGAGCACTAGCCTTGAGCTGAAGAGCTTAGGAACAGCACCCAGCCAAGTTCAAGCCCCAGGACTGACAAAAAAAAAAAAAAAAGAATGTCCATAACTGCTTAAGTTTGAAAACTTCCAATCTGGAAATAACCCAAACATGTAACATTGGGTGAATGAACAAATTATGACATATCTGTACAATGAAAGTAGTACCCTACTACTTACAACACTCCTTCAGCCCAGCTTTTTTCCTAAAGTTTTTGCCCAAGCTAACTTTGAACCATGATTGCTCTAGATCATTCTTTGAAGATTAAAAAGGACTTAAAGCTGGGCGCCAGTGGCTCACGCCTGTAATCCTAGCTACTCAGGAGGCTGAGATCTGAGGATAACAGTTCAAAGCCAGCTCAGGCAGGAAAGTCCGTGAGACTCTTATCTCCAACAAAGCACTAGAAAACCGGAAATGGCGCTGTGGCTCAAGCAGTAGAGTGCTCACCTTGAGCTGAAGAGCGCAGGGACAGCACCCAAGCCCCAGAGTTCAAGCCTCACAACCGAAGAAAAGAAAAAGAAAACAAAAAAAAAAGGATTTAAAGATTTAATTGTGTAATGATCAAGTTTTTATAGTTTTTGTTTGGTTGGATTTTAGTAGTTATGGGGCTCGCCCTTGGGGGCCTTGTGTTTGCTAAATAGGGGTCTCTACCTCTTGAACCATGCCCCTAGGCCTTTTGCCTTCATTATTTTTCTGAATAGGGTCTCCTGTGTCTGCCCAGGGCCAACAGACCACCACATGCCTATTTAGGCTTCTGTTCAGATAGAATTAACAAATATAGGCCATCATGCCCAGACACGAGTTGAGAAGGAGTCTTAAGAACTTTTCTTCCCGAATGGCCTCAAACTGTGATCCTCTCCATCTCTGCCTGCCAAGTAACATAAAATGTAAACTACCAGTGCCTGGCATCACGTTATTTTTTTAATGGTAGATATTAATCGTCTTTTTGTTTTTTGTTTTTGTTTTTTGGTGTCAGTCCTGGGGCCTGAATTCTAGCCCTGGGTGCTGTCCCTGTGCTCTTCAGCTCAAGGTGAGCGCTCTACCACTTGAGCCACAGCGCCACCTCCGGTTTTCTGGTGGTTAATTGGAGATGAGTCTCACGGACTTTTCCTGCTCAGGCTGGCTTTGAATCTTGATCCTCAGATCTCAGCCTCCTGTATAGCTAGGATTACAGATGTGCATCACCAGCGCTCAATTGATGGAAGCCGGTTTTCCCATGGAAGCACCTGCAGGTTGGGACATCTAGGACTAACCTGACTGGAAGCTGCCCCTAAGAGGTCTCCAAGTAATAAGAGTTTAAATCTTCAGCCTCTCCCTCGTTGGTAGGCTGCCTAGTGTCAAATGTGCATTATAAAAGGGGAAACTCAGGTCCTGGAGTGAAAAGCCACAGGGAAATCCCTAATCCCATTATGCTTTACTAAAAACTCAACCCAAGGAGCTGTGTGAGTACAACTGAATAGTTAACCCCACAGGCTCCACCTGCAATATCAGAGAACCACTACCAGAGAAATGACATTAGATGCAAAGATGAGAGAATTTCCCCGTTTTCCACATGTAATAACTTTCCGAACTGATGTTTATTGCTAAACATAGGAGTAGTTGAGATGGACAAATTATAAGTAAGCATTCTGTCAGAGGCCAAAGGAAAACAAAAGTTTTTGTCATAGCATACCAAATTGTTATTGCCAATAATCATTGACAAACGTACAATGGAAACTTTGCAATACAAATCCTCAAGCCAAAACACACACACACACAAATAATAATCAACAATACCTTAATTTTCTTCTGCATTAGTGGTTACCTCCCTTTTTTTTTTTTTTATTGTAAAGATACTATACAGAGGGTTACAGTTACATGAGTGAGGTAATGAGTACACTTCCTCTTGAACATTGTTACCCCCTCCATTGTTTTCCCCCTACCATCCCCTCCCTCCCTCGGTTACCTCCCTTCTAATTCCTATCCTATATAATTTTATTCCCTCTTATTTTTTTTACATCAAAGCCTTGCAGAATTATCCATCGGATTGGTGTTTCCAAATAACCAGCTTTAGTTATTCATGAAAGGTTTGGGGTTTTCTGATTTATTTATATCAATTACTGTATCTATGTCTTCCCTTACTACTATTTTGTTTCTGGTTAAAATGTTATCTCTGTATAGGGGATGCAAAATTCCCTCTGAAGACTGAGAATTCGAACCTAGGGGTTGGGGAGTGTACCTAAGTGGCAGAAGCCCGAGCAACATTCTGGGTTTCACGCCCTGGATTCAGTCTCTCGCGCTGAAATATAAACTAGCACAAAACTGTTGCCTGATTCCCCACACCCCATCACTACTCGGTGTATTTTTTCCACACCGCTGTTCGGGGGGTGAGGATGTTCCCTGAGGACCTGGGCGCTGTCCCTGAGTTGCTTCCAGGGCTCTACTTCTGGCTCTTTGCTGGCTGCTCGGAGGTCAGAGCTCCTGAGCTCCTCGGCCCGGGCTGGCTGGCGATCCGCAGGTCTCAGCCTGCTGAGTGGCTAGCACGCAGGCGTGCGCGTCAGCGCCGGGCCGGGCCCGCCCGCTCCATCCCTCCCCGTCACCCCCACCCCACTGCGAAGGCTTCGGGGTCCGCATCAGGCTTATCCGGCGGCTCCCTGCCTCCAACGCAGGGCGCAGGCGGGCTGACCGCGCCTCAGTTTCCCCTGCTTTCACGCAAAGCCACGGGGACACCGCAGCAGGAGTTTGCAATCTACAGCCGAATGAGAGGGAGGCTGAGTCACCGCAGCAGGCGGCGACTCCAAGACGGCGGGGCCCGAGAGCAGCGTGGACCCCGGCGGCCCCGGCGCGCGTGCGCACGCCAGCGGCCTGCCGAGGCCCCGCCCCGAACCGGAAGTGCACGCCGGCGGCGCTTCCGGCGGTCCCGGGGTGATGTCGTGGGTTCGAGTGCAGCCGGTGGCCTGCGGCCCCGGGGAGCCGGGGGACGTGTTCGACGAGGAAGCGGACGAGTCGGTGCTGCTGCAGCGGGAATGGAGGAACCACATGCAAAGACGAGTTCAAGTAAAGCCCGGTGCCGGCCCTGGGGAATGCGGGGTGCGGGAAGAGGGGGTGGGAGGGAGGGATTCAGGGAGCGGGAGAGGGGACAGGGTTACGAGGCGAGGGGGTCGGGTGCGGGGAGAGGCGATCGGGGGTGGGGAGAGGGCCAGGGAGAGAGGATCGGGGTGCAGGGAGAGGGGGCCGGGCTGCGGGGAGAGGGGATCGGGGGTGGGCAGAGGGAGCCGGGGTGTGAGGTGGAGCCTGCCGCCTGGCGGCCTCCGTGATCTCGCGAACCGGGGTACGCGGTGGAGGCCGCCTGGTCGGCCTGTGCACTGCGTTAGGAAAAAGGTGAGAACTGAAGAGCTGCAGGGCCACGCCAGGATCGAGGATCGAGGATCGCGGCGGGGGGGGGGGGGGGGGGGGAGCGGCGGGAGGTAGGTGAGACGCCAAGGACCCCGTCATGGCGATCTGGGGACCCATCTCCGGTGACATTAGTCGCGCTAAAATTGTAGGCGTGGAGACGGGGGGGGGGGGGGGGGGAATAACCTATTCAGCTTGGGTAGGGAAAGCTAGTATGAAACCCTGGGGACTCAGTAAGGACCTGTATGTTTCTGGGACTCGCTCATTACTCCTCACTATTCGTCCAGGCTAAGGTTAATGACCAGATGGAGCACTCAGAATTTAGTCCTGGGCGAAACTAAGTTGTGTGATCTGTGTCCAACCATTAAATTGCTCTTAAAGCTTCAGTTGCCGCTGAGGCCTTAGTAGAGTGCCTGCCTAATCAAGCACGAGGGCCTGTGTGCAAACCCCAATAAGACACACACACACATACATTCTACCATCGACACACACACACACACTATGCCATTACTCAGGCCTGTAATCCTAGCTCCTCTGGCGTCTGACACACACACACTATGCCATTACTCAGGCCTGTAATCCTAGCTCCTCTGGCGTCTGAGATCTGAGGATTGCAATTCCAAGCTAGCCTAGGGAGAAAAGTCCGCGAGACAGTCTCCAATTAACCAGCAAAAAGCTGGAGATAGAGCTGTGGCTCAAATGATAGAGCTTCTGCCTTAGTGAAAAAAAACTACAAAAGAGCTTGAGAGCCGGGGCCCCGGTGGCTCATGCCTGTAATCCTAGCTACTCAGGAGGCTGAGATCTGAGGGTCACGGTTCAAAGCCAGTCCAGGCGAGGAAAGTCCGTGAGACTCTGATCTCCAATAAAACCACTAGAAAACCAGAAGTGTTGCTGTGGCTCAAGCGGTAGAGCGCTTGCCTTGAGCTGAAGAGCTGAGGGATAAGTGCCCAGGCCCAGAGTTCAAGCCTTACAACCGACCAAAAAAAAAAGGAGAGAGAACTTGAGGACCTCAGTACAAGACCCAGTACTGGTGTACACACACACACACACACACCAGCTGCTCTTATTTAACATTTCAATAAAATAATATTTACTTACTCTAGTAACCATGTTGTCTCTTACAAAATGCTATATGGGAAACAGGTTAGACAAGTAAGTACTAAGCATCCTTTGGCTTTTTAAATTTATTTTGTCCCAAACCTGGAGCTTGAACTAGGTGCTAGCATACTGTTCCTGAGCTTTTTGATTCAAGGATAGGTCTTTGCCACTTGAGACACACCTTCACTTCCAACTTTTTGGTGGTTAATTGGAGATTAGAGTCTCATGGACTTGCCTGCACAGGCTGGCTTTGAACTGTGATCCTTAGAACTTTGAGGTTTTTGTTTGTTTTACTAATCATCTTTGAGTGCTTAAACACCATTGGGAGATGCAGACTTACCATCCTTCTTTTCCATCAGAATTTTCCTCTCTCCCTGCTTTGCCAGCCTCCTTACCAACCTACACCATCCTAATAAGCTCCCAAGGGACCAGACGTGTTTTTCTACCGCTCCTTTCTTTCTTTATTTTTTTTTTTCCGGTCATAGGGCTTGAACTCTGGGCTTGAGTGCTGTCCCTATGCTCTTCAGCTCAAGGCGAGCACTCTGTCACTTGAGCTAGAGCGCCACTTCCCGTTTTCTAATGGTTTATTGGAGATAAGTCTCACAGACTTTCCTGCCCAGGCTGGCTTTGAACCGTGATCCTCAGTTCTCAGCCTCCTGTGTAGCTAGGATTACAGGTGTGAGCCACCAGCGCCCAGCTTTTTTTTTTTTTTGTCCGTCGTGAGGCCTGAACTCTGGGCCTGGGCACAGTCCCTCAGCTCTTTAGCTCAAGGCGAACGCTCTACCACTTGAGCCATAGCTCTGCTTTATGTGGTGCTGAGGAATCAACCCAGGGCCTCATGCATGCAAGGCAAGCGCTCTACCACTGAGCCACCTTCCCAGCCCTTCTACCACTCCTTTCTGTGATGATATTTCTGACACAATTTTGTTGTTGGGGAAGGTTTTTTCTTTTTTGTTTGTTCAAGTTCCATCTTGCAACTTGAACTTAGGTCCTGCACACTGTCCCTGAGCTTTTTTTTTTTTTTTTTTTGCCAATCCTGGGGCTTAAACTCTGAGCCTCAGCACTGTCCTTGAGCTTCTTTTGCTCAAGGCTAACACTCTATTACTTGAGCCACAGTGCCACTTCCTGCCTTTGCTGTTTATGTAGTACTGAGGAATCAAACCCAGGGCTTCATGCATGCTAGCAAGCACTCTACCACTAAGCCACATTCTCAGTCCCTCCCTGAGCTTTTTGATTCAAGACTAGCACTTTACCACTTGAGACACAGCTTCATTTCTGGTTTTTTGGTAGTTAATTGGTGATAAGAATCTCACCTGCCCAGGCTGGCTTCGAACCACAATCCTTAGGTCTTAGCCTCCTGAGTAGCTAGGATTCCAGACATGAGCCACTGGTCCCCCACCCATTGTGTTATGAATGATGCTAATTAAAAAAATATTTTAAACCCCTCTGTATAGCACCTTAATAATAGTAATAAAATTCTTTTTTTTGTGGGGGGGGGGGGGGGTCTGGTCCTGGTGCCTGAACTCTGGACCTGGGCCGGGGCGCTGTCTCTCAGCTCTTCAGCTCAAAGCTAGCGCTCTACCACTTGAGCCACAGAGCCACTTCCGGCTTTTTGCTTATGTGGTACTGAGAAATTGAACCCAGGGCCTCATGCATGCAAGGCAAGCGCTCTACCACTGAGCCACCTTCCTAGCCCCAACAATAAAATTCTTTAAAGAAAAATAAAGCCTGTAAAGTAAGAGAAGGAAAGGTGAGTCAGCAATAAACTTTTAGGAGAAACATAATCAACCTTGGTTTTGTGTCTATGCATGTAAGTTTGCTAACACACTAAAAGGTTTCATCAGTCTCTGAATTGGCTCAGTGCCTTTCTAGTTCACATGGTGATCATTTCAGCTCTGGTTCTTCATTTTCTTCCAGGAAGGTTACAGAGATGGCGTAGATGCTGGCAAAGCAGTGGCTCTTCAGCAAGGTTTCAACCAAGGTTACAAGGAAGGTGCAGAAGTCATTGTAAACTATGGACAAATTAGAGGAACGCTGAGGTAACTAGAAAAACTGACTTGCTGAATCATCTTCATCTCAGTGTTACTGCTAAATGTTTATGAAAGTAATATGGAACAACAAAAGGGTTTTGGGGTTTTGCCAGTTCTGGGGCTTGAACTCAGGGCCTGAGCTTCTTTTGCTCAAGGCTAGCACACTACCACTTGAGCCACAGTGCCACTTGTGTGTACGTGGTACTGAGGTATTGAACCTAGGGCTTCATGCATACTAGGCAAGCACTCTACCCCTAAGGCTGAGATTGGAAGGTGGAAATTTAAAGCTAGCTTGAGCATAAAGTTCACAAGACTCCAACTCAGCCAAGAGGTGAGATGTGGTGGCAAGCACCTATCATCCCAGCTTGCCAGGAAGATCTCATTCCAAGCCAGCCCCAGCAGGAGAAAAACGTTAAAGAAAAGAAGAATTGTATTCATTACCTGACTTATAGTATTGTAACCTCTTTGTACAACACTTCAATATAACAATAAAATTACATTAATTTTTTTAAAAACCAAGAAACTCCAGCTGAACAGAAAATGCCAAATATGCTGGTACAATGCCTGTTACCCTAGCTACTGTTGAAGCTTAAAGAAGGAATCATGGTCCACTGTGGCCCCAGCAAAAAGCTCAACCCTATCTCAAAAGCAACTAGATCAAAAGAACTGGAAGAGTGGTTCAAGCACTAGAGCACCTGCCTACCAAGTGTGAAGCCCTGAGTTCAAACCCCAGAATTGCCAAAATAACAATGATAACAATAATGTTTTCCTAGTACTGAATTCTGTGTTTGAAAGCATAAGATAATACTGTCTTCAAAAAGTAAAAAGTCATGATCAGTTCACTCCCTTTAATATATAAGCCAGATATTTTCCTTTGCAAAGAAAGGTAAGACATTGTCCAAAAAAAAAAAATGTGCTCTTAGCTAGAATCCTAATAGCTAATAATAGCTAATCCTAATGATCCTATAGCTCATACCTATAATCTTAGCTGCTAAGGTAGGCTGAGATGTGAGGATTACAGTTCAAAGCCAACCAAAGAGTCAGAGACTCTTGTCCCCAATTAACCACCAGAAAACTGGAAGTGATACTGTGGATCAGAGTGGTAGTAGAGTGCAACCTTGAGCAAAAGAGCTCAGGGACAGTGCCCAGGCCCTGAATTCAAGCTCCACAACCAACTCAAAAAGAAGTATTCTTTTTTTTTTTGGTGTCCAGTTGTAGGGCCTGAACTCTGGGCCTGGGCGCTGTCCCTCAGCTCTTCAACTCAAGGCTAGCACTCTACCACTTGAGCCACAGCACCACTTCTGGCTTTTTTTCTTTTTGCTTATGTGATACTGAGGAATCGAACCCAGGGCCTCATGCATGCAAGGCAAGCACTCTACCACTGAGCCACCTTCCCAGCCCAAAAAGAAGTATTTTTTATCTGACTTATATAACTTTAACTTTCGTTACATCACCTTTATAATAACAATAAAAAAATTTTTTTAGAAGGTAGGAAAGTGAAAAACTGAACTACCAACTTCCTCTTATTTAAAGGTCTTTGGGTTTTGAATAAAATCTTGTAGGACCTGCACATGAGGCAGAGCCTAGTAAGTCAGCCCTTTAGACTAGAAGCACATTGTGCAGAAAGAAGTTCCTTAGCGCTCAGCATCAACCATTCTAAAACCCACAATTGTTTGCCTCCTTAATTCTCGCTTCTGCTTCCACTCAGTGCTTTGCTCTCCTGGTGCCACCTGCACACTCACAGTGTGATTTGGATCAATAAAATACATGCTCTTCTTGATGCACTTGGCCAGTGTGAAGAGTGTGTGCTGCAGCGTCTGAAAGCCATAGCCTCGGGGCCCCAGGTGGGAGACTTACTAGACTCCATTGAGGGAATGGATCTTGGTCACAACGTTCAAGCCAAGGAAAAGATTGCCGAAGTTACAGATGCAAGACTGTGTGAAAATGGTGCTGAGTGGAACCAAAATGGTGACAAGACTGTTGATGGGGTAGAGGGCTCACATTTGGAATGTCACAGGACACAAGAGCACCCACATCTGGAACCCCCAAGCCTCACATGGGTTTTGGAACAGACAGCCACTTTAGTGACACAGCTGGGAGTGCCAGTAGATATATTACAGCACCTCAAACAGCTGTAAACACCATCTTCCCTTTTCTAGTCAGAGAGTTTCCCAATGAGACAGCCATGAGCATTGAGCATTTCACCTGTAGTGACCCTACTGCAGGTTTAAAATGTCCTCCACAGGAACACGATGAAATTAACATAACCTTTTTTGTCACTGGTAATTTTTCATAGTGTACGATGTGCTCAGGACATTCTAGTTACTATCATTTTCAAATTTCTGATCAAGCACTAGCAATTTTAGATCATTAGCAAAAGAGAATTAAATATTTTATCTAGCCTAACACTACCTCTTGTTTGTGTCAACATCAAGTGGTCCAAAACCTCATTACCAGCTACTCAGACCAAAGTCACCAAAAACAACACAAATAGATATGAGCCAGACACTGTTGGCTATCACCTATAATCCTAGATAATCAGGATCTGAGGATAAAGATCAAAAACAGCTTAGGCAAGAAGTTCAGTAAGATTCTTATCTCCAATAAAATTACTCTGAAAGGGCCTGGAAAGGTGGCTCAGTGGTAAAGTGCTTGCCTCAGATGCATGAGGCACTGGGTTCAATTCCTCAGCACCACATAAACAGAAAAAGCCAGAAGTGGCACTGTGGCTCAAGTGGTAGAGCGCTAGCCTTGAGCTGCAGAGCTGAGGGACAGTGCCCAGGCCCAGAGTTCAAGCCCCAGTACCAAAAAGAAAAATCCATTCCCTTGTGAGTATAGACTTGAATTTCAGTTCTTGACCCCTGAAGCACTGACAGTCCTGTTTGCCATCATGCCTCCCTTGGCCCCATCATGTGTTCCATATCTCTTTGCAGGCAATAATGAATAAATAATACTACAGTGTAATGTTAAGACCTTAAAGACAAATGTTTCAGTACTGTTTGAAGTTAAAGTTTATAAAGAAACTACACAAAGGGAAAAATGGAGCTAGGCACTGGTGGCTCATGCCTGTTGTAAACCTAACTATTCAGGAGGCTGAGACCTGAGGATCATGATTCAGTCACAGCAGAAAAGTGAGAGTCTTAATCTCCAATTAACCACCAGAAAACCAGTAGTGCTGTGGCTCAAAGAGGTAGGAGTGCTAGTCTTGAGCAAAACAGCCTCAGGGACAATACCCAGGCCCTAAGTACAAGCCCCACAACCAACAAGAAAGAACGAAAACATGGAAACAGTTGAATAAGCAAATTACTAGTTCCTAGCAGGCTTTCTGGTGTGTGATCTTGATAACAATAAGAAAGCTGGTCACTGGAGGCTTGTGCCTCTACAGTAATCCTAGCTACACAGGAGTTTTAGATCTGAAGATCACAGTTCAAACCTAGCTCAAGCAGGAAAGTGTATGAGACTTTTATCTTCAACTAACCACCAACAAGGCAGAAGTGGAGCTGGTATGTAGAAGAGTGCTAGCCTTAAATAGAGAAGGGGGGAAAAAAAGGATAGAATTTAAGCCCTAGGACTAGCATACACAAAAAGAGACTGACCTAAATTCTTCTCAAACTCTTGAGACTTTCTGCCCTTCTCTTAGGAGGTTATTGTGCTGCTCTTTTTGTAGTGATGTGTATTGGTCCTTCACATATTACTATTCAACTCAAAAACTATTAGCTTTCCACTTAGTGCTTCAGATTTGTCAAAAAAAAAAACAAACAAAAAACACTGGAGTCGTCAGTATAGGAAATATCCTATTGTCTTGTCCTATCGATCATCTGATCCTTCTAGAAAGAGGGCCAGAAAAGTGAAAATCAGAACTACCTGCAGATTCCCTTTACACAAGTTGTATTGTGGTACATTCATCTGTTTATGAGGCACTCACCATTGGAGAGCCAGGCCTTACCCTGTTTGTGAGAAACAGTTGAGTTAGTTCAAATCCACTAGGTGGTGCTAGTGGACTCAATATGTCAGAACTGCATGAGCCTCATTCCTAGCTAGCTTCAGTGCCCTTTAGAATTCACTTGTCACAGTACAAGAAGCTACTAATGTCTAAAGGGATGCTACATTGAGTCGTATTATTAAGTTGGTGAGAGTTTTCTAGGTTTGTCAACAAACAAGAAATTAGAAGCCAACTGGGTGCCAGTGGCTCATGTCTATAACTCTAGGTACTCAAGAATTGAGATGTGAGGATCCCAGTTTAAGCCAGCCTGGGCAGAAAAATCTGTGAGACTCTTATTTCCAACTAGCCACAAAAGGGTAGAAGTGGAGTTGTGGTCTAAGTGGCAAAGTGTTAGCCTTCAGCAAAAAAAAGCTCAGAGACAGCACTGAGGCCCAGAATTCAAGCCCCAGGACCTGCCAAAAAAAAAAAAAGACCTAGATAATCCTGGCTGGAGGGTGGGTCACTCCTTTCAGCCGTACCTCTACCTTGCATGGTGGGGGCAGCAGTTAGGTTAAAAAAAAAACAACAACCTTCATTTCCTGCCTGAAAAAAAAGCAAGAAAAAAAGAAAAAAAAAAGCACTCTTATTCTTCAAAGCTCTGAAGCCTAAGTGGATTGAGGTTCAAAGATACCAGTGCAGAAAAGTCCCAGATTCTTTTTTTTTTTTTTTTGGGTCCGGTCATGGGGCCTGAACTCTGGGCCTGGGCGCTGTCCCTCAGCTCTTCAGCTCAAGGCTAGAGCTCTACCACTTGAGCCACAGTGCCACTTCCGGCTTTTTTCTTTTTGCTTATATGGTGCTGAGGAATCGAACCCAGGGCCTCAGGCATGCAAGGCAAGGGCTCTAACACTGAGCCACCTTCCCAGCCCAAGTCCCAGATTCTTATCTCCAATTAACTGGCAAAATGCTGGAAGTGGATCTGTGACTCAAGTTGTAGAGCCACTGGGAAATAAAGTTTAGGGACAACAGCAGGTTCTTAAAACTAATTATAGACTTTCCTTATGACCCCAGAAAACTATTGGGCATATATCCGAAGAAGAGTAAATCAATAAACAAGAAAGACACTTGCATACCTATGTTTAGCCAAAGTGCCCAACAACAGATGAATGGATAATTGAAACATATACAGACCATTTTATCCATCTATATTTGTGTGTATATATATATATATCTATATATATATATATATATGTGTGTATATATGCACAAACACATACATATATGGTAGAGAACATTAACATTCATTATTACACAGCCATAAAGAAAAATGGAGCCAGGCGCTGGTGGCTCACGCCTGTAATCCTAGCTACTCAGGAGGCTGATATCTGAGGATCGAGGTTCAAAGCCAGCCCGGGGAAGGAAAGTCCCTGAGACTCTTATCTCCTATAAACCACTAGAAAACTGCAAGTGGCACTGTGTCTCTAGCGGTAGAGTGCTCGCCTTGAGCTGAAGAGCGCAGGGACAGCTCCCATAGAGTTTAAACCCCACGACTGACCAAAAAAAAAGAAAAATGGAGTCATATTGTTTGCAGACAAATGGATAGAACTGGAAAAAACCATACTGAGACAAGCCAAGCTCAAAAAAACAAATTATGTTTTGGATCACAAATGAAAGCTAGACCTAAAAGATGCATATTCATGGGCATAGACATATATATATATATACCTGTATACATAGTTTTATATATATATATATGTTCTATATATATTATATATATATATATATATATGGAGAAACAGAACATGAGCTTAACTAAGGTACTACTTGGGAGAGGGGAAGATGAAAAGAAGGTGAATATTTTTGAGATACACTGAGACTATATATGAAATTAGCATAAAGAGCCTCAGTGAAAGCTTTTGATCAAGGAGTTGAAAAGAGAAATAGGCTCTGTTGTGGGGTGGGTACTAGCAGGAAAAAAATTGAGCTATGAAGGAGAGCTCAAGATTGTCCAAGTAGATTGCTTGCCTGTATGGAAATAGAGCAATAAAACTGTTTGGAATTGTTTTAGGAGTTGGGTCAGGGAGTAAGGGAGAGTGGGGGTTGGGGGTGGTACCAGGAATGTAGGATTCACTAGCAGGCTATCCCAGCAGATACCCGCCCATGCATAACTAATGAATGTTTTAAAAAAAAATAAAAGCAACCAATCAACCCAGGCTGGGAAGGTGGCTCAGTGGTAGTGTGCTTGCCTCGCATGCATGAGGACCTGGGTTCAATTCCTCAGCACCACATAAGCAGAAAAAGCCAGAAGTGGCGCTGTGGCTCAAGTGGTAGAGTGGTAGCCTTGAACTGAAGAGATGAGGGACAGCGCCTAGGCCCAGAGTTCAGGCCCCACAACCAAAAAAAAAAGTATGTTTCCCTAATTTCTTAAATGATTTTGCAAACCCACCATAATAATAGAGTAGTCTCACAGTAGTTCTTACAATCCTTACCAATGAGGCAAACCCCTGACAGAAGGGTATAATATGATAGTCTGAGCCGGGCGCTGGTGGCTCACGCCTGTAATCCTAGCTACTCAGGAGGCTGAGATCTGAGGATCACGGTTCAAAGCCAGCCCGGGCAGGAGAGACCGTGAGACTCTTATCTCCAATAAACCACCAGAAAACCGGAAGTGGCACTGTAGCTCAAGTGGTAGAGCGCTGGCCTTGAGCTGAAGAGCTGAGGGACAGCGCCCAGGCCCAGAGTTCAAGCCCCACGACCGACAAAAAAAAAAAATATAATAGTCTGAAAAGGAAACATCTCCCTTTTTCTTAACTGTATTTTTTTTGTCTTTTCTTTTTTGGTACTGGGGATCGAACCCAGGACGTTGCACTTGTTAGGCAAACGCTTTGCCACTGAGCTACATCCCAGCCCTACATCTCCCTTTTTCTTATTTGGAAACTGCTGAAACACTTTTCTCACGTAATCAGATCCTAAGGTAATCAAGGATTCTCTAATTTACAAGTTCTATTGTGAAACATCAAAAGCACTTGCTTATTACAAAACTAACCATAATCAGGTGGTGGTGGCTCATGCCCATAATCCTAGCTGCTCAAGAAGCTGAGATCTGAGGGTAACAGTTGGGCAGAAGCGTCCATGGAACTTTATTTTTACTTTTTATTTTTATTGTGAAAATACCATACAGAGGAGTTACAATTACATGGACAAGGTAATGAGTACATTTCTTATCAAGTATTGTTGCCTCCTCCTTTGTTTCCTCTTCCCACACCCTTCCCATCTCCCTCCCCTTAGCCCCCTCCCCCCCCCCCCCAGCCAAAGTTGTAAAGTTCGTTTTTGGACATACATCTTGTACATCTCATAGTTGCAATGGGTCCACCTGTATCCCTATTTAAACAATTAGTTTTTCCCCTTCCCCTCCACAAATTATATCAACATCAAATACAATGAAAACAGGAGTTATACTGTCGGGGAGGGACATACAA